AGTGTGGAATCGGGGGTTCTCCTAAGCGGTGCTGCGTGTGGGTTACTATACATGCCACTAGCCGGGGCTGGCCTTCGATCACGATTGGTTCTTCGGTAGGGTAGTTCTACTGTTATCCTGTATGTTGGGCTTGGCCTCCCCTGTTTTCGTAATGTGTGCGTGTCAATTGATGCTACCAGTCTGCAGTGTGCATCACTGCGTACCAGTGAAGTGTGAAAGCGACCCATTATGCATATGAACATTCCCAACTGTTACTAACTCGCGTCGTTCAAGACCACATCCAGTAACACCCAGATGTACAAGTCCTGTGACCAGTGCGTGGCATAGAGGATTGATAGGTTATGCAACTTCACTCTTCAAAACAAACTGGATGCGCTTGCCACGGGAACTCGATAAGCCAGATAGTTTCCCGACGAGCAACCACAAACTGTCGAAGCCGTTTTGGTACAGAAGCGATTAAAATCAAGCCGTAGGGGGAGTCAATATAGCCCCTGGGAAAAAGCGGACGGAGCTACCTCTCCGCAGACAACTCAGCTAACGAACGAAAGGGAGGGCAGATCAAACCGTAGGTTCACCCGAGCGGACAAATTGCAAGCAGGCCACTGCGTAAACATCCAACAGATGTTCAAAAGGGCATATGTAAAAAATGAATCAAGGCAGTGGCGCACGCGTATGATTGTAACACCAAATGGCGCGATGCAATCGTTAAGGAAACGACGGATTTGGAGACGTTGCAAATGGGATCTTACGTTCAACATAACTTGTCTTACGTCCATCCAAAAGGTAGTCTGTAGTGGGAAGGTAATCGGAATAAGATCTTAGCAGTAGAAAAGATGATCACCTGAAACCGAAGGCGATTACTCTCACTAAAAAGTGAGACAGTGATCAATAAAGACAAACCAACCACTTTGATGGGGTGCAACAAGAGCAATCCACGGATGAGGAAACAAGAAGCGTTAACGGTGACGAATGATACGAAATAATTTGCAAACCAGGGAAGATGAAAATGAGGGAAAACGAGTAACAAGGTCATAATGGGCCTTACCGCTGGCAGTGAAGTCGACAAGTGGAGATGCGTGTTTATCTTGAAAATCTGGGGGACCCACTGAGGACACTTGACGAGCATGGCTTTGTACGCGCATCCCAAGATTCTGTAGTCGCCTTAGTTGGGCCATAGCCTGACTGTTCAAGTTGTGGGCTCTGGCCCGCAGGTCTGGATCTTGGGCACCGACATCGATGGTTCTGGAAAGGAGTAAGAGCGGAAGAATGGGATCGATAGTTCAGACGCTATTTGCTTCTGTCCACGGTAAGTGTCAGGCGAGGTTAAACAGCAAGATGACTGGCAAGCACTATTTATTTATGTTATGTAATCACTAATTATTTGTGTGACAAGACTGGTGCATAGTAAATGGGGAAGGTTGGGCGAGAACCACTGAAACAGAAATTCATGAGTTATGGATGAGGGTGATCTGTCTGACTTCATGGTCGCCGTGATTGGCACACTGGATTTCCAAGGGGACCTCTCGAGTAACAGAAGAACCAACAAACGGTACAAGAGGAATCATATATTAGGATGCTTGGATTGATTCCTCAAATAACTAAGCAACGCACACATCTCCCAAGAAGAAGTCGATTTGATCCAAAACGAGTGCCGTTATGGTGTGCAAGTTTGATAGAACACTACTCATAAGGTTACTGGGGCTTCTTCGAAACCTCACGACAGGTTTCGCCCTTTTAAGGCGGTCTTTGTGGAACATATTTGGTTGGAGACTATCATGAACGAGAGATTCAACTGGGTCTCTCGCTAAAAACAAACTCTTCTGCAAATGAGTGTATTTCGCGGAGTTCGAGCTTAGTTCAGAAGTAGGTCTCAAGCTACTATCCCTAAACTGTTCAGTCCATCAGAGAATGTGCCTAACCAAGAATGAAGATGACGCAACGAGGTGGCTCAAGTGTTTAGAGCGTGAATTTACTGAGCGGAAGGCCCGTGGTTCGAACCCGACCTCTGTCTCTCGAATTCCCCTGCCTAGGCTTGCGCAACCTGGCAGTATCCCAGCCCTCGTGCTTCCTTCGGGTGGTATGACAGCTTCTGACGAGGTAGCCCAAGGTTCCATTCCAGCGGTGACTTCACGATTATCCTCGTTAAGACTTGGGGGCAAGCTGGTGGTCGTGTTCTAGGCGGGCTACATGGTAGCCAGGCACCGTAAACAAATTAATATTACGCTATACCATGCTTGTCACTAATAACGGTATTTACCATTGGTTACTGCTATTACCACGGCGAAATATCACGGTTAAAAACTGAACGCTGTTGCGTAAATCTCTTAACCAACAGAACACTTAGTTTATACATAGACTTTGTACCCAAAGTTCCTAAGTATCGAGTAAATAGTAACATCCGTCCAATCCTGTAATACAGTGAAGGGACGTTCTGGAAAGCTCTCAAACATATAGCCCCATTTCCGAGTTTACATGGAAGCAAAGTAACTCATCGATTATTCACCACCAACACACTCATTTGGCTCACCATCGTTATAACATCGTAATTAGTAATTCGTACTCCACATTGTGATTTTCAAAACCTCCACGAGGGCCGAGGACAGATCGATCGAGGCGAAAAGTTGCCAACTGCTCAGTGTACCTTGAACCTTCGTACTGTCATCCCTCAGCTATCGAGCATTTATTAAGCGACAGTTGGCTTCCATCTCCACTCCAAAGAATGGATAAGTTTACAATATACCAAATAAAAGATAAACGGGCAAATTTCAACAGCTTTCCCGCATGCGGAGGTCTTCTTGCGCTTCCCGAATGTCCCGGATTTCACCCAACGACAACCAGCTGTTACTCTATGCGGTGTAAGCACGTGAGCAATGCGAAGGATGAAGTAAGGCAGCCATTGGTGCGATGAATGGTGGTCTGTGACGCAACAGGGGGCCGGTTTGGGTAAATAACAAATGAGTTTCGAGCCACATCAAGAAGCCTTTTGATGGTTATAACCCCACTTTGTGCATTCATAATTTCACGCAACTTGGACGGCACAGCTGCTTGAATGAATTGAGTAGTAGGGAATTACGCACTGAAACTGCAACCAGATGATAGACATAACCACCATATCAAGGCTTCCTCACACGCGGGCCCAAATGGTACGGAATCCGCCTTAAGGTAATTTCCGGTTCATATAACAGGGAAATGGTACTACCGCACAAAAGTTCGTTTAGAGATCTCTTCTTCGTTTGTTCCGTAAGCGCCTCGCGACACATTCGAACAATTGATGTGGTGTTCGGTTGTTTGAGGCGGCTGATCCCCAGACATTGATACAGCTCAGCGGTTAAGGCGCCAACTTACTGACCTAAAGAACCGTGGTTCTAACCCAACATTCGGCATCTCGACTGCTTCTACCAAGGTGTTGACAACCTGGGTATACCTCAGCTCTCATGCCCCCTTAGGGCTGCATGGCATCCGAAGGCTGTAATTGAATAACGACTACTAGTGTGTCACTAAAACCCCTAGTACCAGCTGAGCGAAACCAGTCATAAAACTGATAGCACACTTTACGACCTTCAGTTCACTTTACCAACCTATTACAAGCCAACCGTTGGTTGAAAGAAGTGAAATCTAATGTACAACACCAACCACCTTCAGCTATAGACCGCTCCGCTTCTGAGATACAACTGCAAGACCAAGTACCATCAGCCTCGGATAGGCGATGTATATTGCGTCCCATTGATCCAAGGAGGCCACAATCGGAGGGCCGGAGTCGGAAGCAATTCGCACCATCCCAGTGACTGCTGACGTGGTCCACAAAACTACTGACCAACACTCCACGCTGTATCTGGGTAGCACATACCAACACGATCAACGGCCGCTTGCCTGTCTAAAAAATGAATTGGCGTTCCTTAAATCGGAATGATGCACTGT